GAATTGCCTTTGCACCTTTGTTGAAAATCAGTGAACCACCTACGTGATGAGGGGTCTATTCTAGGGAGCATCTCAATTCATTTTATAATCTTGTATTAAAATTCTCTGCTCCTGGCCTTCATCGCCTGAAACTCCTCCCCGTTATACCCAGACAGGGTCCCCCACTCTCATCCATGGGCACTGCTCACTGTACAGGGTCCCCACCACGAAAGGCACTGACTGATCTTCTGTACCCTGAAGTTCCGTGAGCCTTGTCCCAGTGGAGGTTGGCTGTAGATGGGTGCACAGGCCTCTGAGAGGTAGGGGGAGTCCCCCACACCATGTCTTCCAGAAAGCCTGTCATGTGAAGAGCACTCCGCACTGTGGACCAAAGTTCTGCATGCCCAAGATGCTCTGAAACCCTGGCCAAGTTGGAGTCCTCAGATCCCCTCCACCTCCTCCCACTCCTGCCGCATCCTTGCCTTCCCTTAACTCCAATCAGGCTGGAGAACCTTCAAGAGAAACTTGACAAGAAGACCCTGTTTGCCTTTGGAATACATGGAAGGTGAACTCCTCCAGCAGCCCGTCTTGGCCGCCTCTCCAGCAGCTGCCTGGGGAGGCAGAGCACGAGCGTCTGAGGGCTGCTGGCTACATTTCCCAGCAGTTAGGAATTAGATGAAGCCATAACCAGCACTATACTTGGCAAAGCACCTGGACACAATAGTATGCTTAATGAAATGATTAAATGTCTCCACAGCAGAGCTTCATTTCACTGATGTAACTTTGATTGACCTCTGATGAATGCCTGCCAAAACACTAGCGTGGCATGCAGGGGCGTGGGCAGGCATCTGCCACCAGGCATGGTTTGGGCCGACCTAGTCCCCTCTTTTTTCCCAGCCTGGAGAACTCAGTGCCATCGTTTCTGCTCTTTAAGTCATGTCCCCTGGAGATAATTGAATGATTACTGAACTGGAAAAATAATAATAAAAAGTTTCCTTTTTTAAAGAAAATTGGTCCTGGCCAGGCAGAAACATAGAGAGCTATGTTCCCTAACATTCTTATATTCAATCAACTGAAAATCATATGGTTTGTATCGAGGACGAAACATATTTCCAGAGAGTCCTACCAAGGTGTTCCATGGAAAATATTTTCCAAAGGGACAATTTTAATGTTAAGATTCATTGGAGAAATGCTGTCCACTTTATCTCTTCTGTAAGATTCACAGTGCAGTTCACCTTAGCAAAGATGCTGAGAAGTCTTGAAAGAGATTCACCTGCTTAGCTAAATTCAACTGTTTTTGCAACGTACTTAAGCTGAGAACTCTTTTTTTTTTTTTCACCTAATACTTATTAACACCAGGGAACTTGGTTGGGAAATGACTTTGCAGAAAATTCCACGATATGTTGCCATAGAAGCAGTATCTGTTGCTCTGTTCTATTCAACAAAAGCTGTAGAATCGGTGAAGGGCGAGACGGTGAGGAACTGGGGGCCACACCAGGCACCCTGGCTGCTTCTCTCTGGCATTCCCGGCCTGACCAGATGTGAAAATAAATCATGATGTTTTCCAGCGATCCTGACAAGTGGGGGCTGGAAGCCCCAACCAGAGCTCTGTGATTAACCAGTTGAGTAAGACTGCTTGGACCCCCAGATCAGAAAGAGTCCATCTCCCCGAGCTTACCACGGTATGCGCTGGCCTATGATTACACAGTAAGTGTATAGCAGATAGTTTTTATCTTTTTCTCTCCTGCCAGTTTTCTAAAGAGATTCGTTTTCTCCAAATGACATGACTGAATTAAAAACAGTTTTTTTTTTTTCCAACTTACTTCCTTCTGCACTGTATCTCTTCCTTCCCCAAACTCATGTTTGGGACTAGGGATCCTGCTATGGAAGACTTACGATTTTTTTTTTTTTTTTTTTTTTGAGACAGAGTCTTGCTCTGTCGCCCAGGCTGAAAGGCAGTGGCATGATCTTGGCTCACTGAAACCTCCGTCTCTTGGGTTCAAGAGATTCTCCTGCCTCAACCTCCCAAGTAGCTGGGATTACAGGCACCCACCACCGTGCCTGCCTAATTTTTGTATTTTTAGTAGAGACGGGGTTTCACCATGTTGGTCAGGCTGATCTTGAACTCCTGACCTCAGGTGATCCACCCGCCTTGGCCTCCCAAAGTGCTGGGGTTACAGGTGTGAGCCACCGAGCCTGGCCCACTCTGTCTTTTAAGAGGTATCAGCCATGAAAAAACGGAATGCCACAATGAAAGCTGTTCTCCCCATTTCATATAGAGCCTCCACTGCTGCTAATGCAGAATTAGATTAGGGGCTGACTGTCCCTGTGAAATAAACTCTCCCCACAGTCAGAAAACATCTGGAAACCACAGAGTCAGCAGATAAAGCTCCAACCTTCCCTCTCGTCGCTCCCCAGCTCCCCACACAGTGTGCTGCCCCGTCATCTGCAGCAGGCGCATTCATTCTCATTCTTTATGCCTTGTTATTCTGTCCATTTCTTAATCTATTTATGCTGACTTTATTTTTAGTGGACCTATTGTGACAGTGAATCCTGAAATTGCCTCGGTTGTTTTCTGAAAACGGCCGTTACTGAACCATAATGTAGACCCCAAATAAAATACTGTAAGCCCCAGGCAGTTTCTGGAGGTCTGCAGCAGCTGTCTACATTTAGAGCTGTATATCAATTCTCCCTTCAGAGGGGCTTGCCGGGAGAGGCAGCTTGAAAGGTAATGCCATGTCATATTTAGATGAGCATCTCTGGGTCGCGCTAAAAATGCTCACTTCTTCCCCTTTTGGAGAATTTCTTCAAACATTAATAAATTCCCTCCCCTCTCCCTATCTGTTGTTGGCAAACTATAAAAAATGCAAATGATCCAGAAACCAATTAATTTTTAGAAGGTTGCAGCTGCTTTGCTATATTGACAAGACATGGTGGGCACATTAGGGCGTGTGTCTCTGAGTCTCACGCATGCAGAAGGCATCGACTTCTTGTCGCAGAAGCACCAGCTATCTCCAGATAGGAGCCATCGTTCAGCCGTGTCCAAGCAAACAGATTACTTCCAAATTGCATTCCACATCTGAAGAACCTGCTAATGAAGGGGCCATGCCGAGGCAAGACGGTGGCCTCATGATGTATTTCCAGTAACACAATGAAAAGTTTCACCTTCTTGTACCAAGGAAATGCTCGGTGGAGAAGCAGAGGTGCTGGCACTGTTATTCTTCAGGCCGGCTCTGGTATCTTAAGCCCTAGGGGCTTTGGGGTTACAGCTACTAGAACTTGGTTATATTTAGAGCTCATAATCGCAAACATCGAAGTCTTTATTTTTCTAGTAGTTCTGCAAAATGTCAAAATAGTATTCCTGCAAGAGAACACCGTCAGTCTTTTTTTCTACTTTCTATGACATTTGACCATACTGTTCACAGCTCACCCAACAGCCATTCCCCTTTTCCATTCTTCCCTTGTAGTAGAAGCTGGATTGGGTTTAGGTAGAGGGATATCGATTGCATAATTTCAACCACCCAAAGTACACTGTGCCTGGTCCAAACTAATCACTGTAATCCCATGTTTGGCCCAGGACTCAGCATGGGACCCAATTGTGGCCAATGAGACACAGAGCAAGCCTGCTGATGGGGCTTCTAGGAAATACTTTTATTTCTCTTCATATACAAGACAAAGACATGTAGGGAAAAGACCTTTCTGCACCTTCCTCAACTTTCTGCCTCCAACGCTTCTGTGCGATGATGTGATACTTGGAACATGGTGGCATCTTGTGACCATGAGGTGACAGGCTTGGCACGGACAGTCGTGTGCTGTGGGTGGCAGAGCAGGTAACCAGGAAGTCGGGTGCCAACACTCATCCTCTTGCACCTGTGCCAGCTGGGACCTCCCACCTCTGGACTTCTGGCCGCATGAGCTGACGGCCTCTCTTCACTGCCCAGTGCCTGTTGGTCAGCTGTTTTGTTACTTGTGATCAAAAGCATTCCTGATGGGTTCAAGACTCTTTGAAGAAACCTTAGAACTGTGTCACCTGGAATCTCTGCTCTCAGCTGCTTGAATCCCCTCCCAGCATTTCCACCAACCTGTGCTTAGGCAATTAGAGAAGGAGGAGCTTACTCTCTCCCGGGCCACTCATGCCACCTGTGGGCCCTTCTGCCAGAGTCTTTCTTCTGTGATGAGGGAATTCAGCTGGACAGCATTCCCTGGGAGGTGTGGGGGCTGAGCCCCTCCCGGAGCCTGCCCGGAAAGAGCAGGGCTTGTCAAAGCCCCAGTGTGGGAGGCACTCAGGTGAGAGCTGCGCTGGCCGGGGATGCCCTGTTCTGCTTCCTCCTGTGAGTTCCCCAGGAGGGAGGGGTTTTTTCTTTCTAAAAATAGCTTTACTGAAATATAATTCCCATACAACACAATTCACCCATTTAAAGTGTACAATTCGGTGGTTTCTGGTACCGTCACAGACAGGTGCCTCCATCACCACAGTCCATTTTAGAACATTTCATCACGTAAAACAAAACAAAACAAACCTTTTCCCTTTAGCTGTCATATTCTCCCAAGTCTCCAGCCTCCCACTCCCTCAGCCCTAGGCAACCACTAATCTTTCTGTCACTCTAGATTGACCTATTCCAGACATTTCGCATGAATGGAACCATGCAATATGTGGTCTTGGTGTCTGGCTTCTCACTTAGCATAATGTTTCCAAGGTTCATCCATGTTTAGCACACATCAGCACTTCATTGTTTTTTTATGACCAAATCGTATTCTGTTGTATTGATATACAATTGGTTCTCCTTATTTTCGGTAGTTCTGTTCTATAAAGTCACCACAAACATTGAATTAGCAAACATTGAACCACTGCCCCTAGAGGAAATACAGGGTTAGGTTCCTGCAAGCCTCTGGTCACATTTTTGCCTACTGATGGATATGTAATCTTGTTTTATGTGTATTTCTGTTTAAAGACAACTAATTTGATATATATAATGTATCTATATATTTATATACATATGTGCATATGTATATGTGTATAATATGTACGTATATATATATTGTTGGTTCATTAACATTGACGTTACGGCCAACAGCATTTCAACTCATACTTCAGAGGGTGGAGGTTTGTGGAGAGGAGTGTTTTCCTGGAGAGCTCTCAGCATAGATACACTTGTGTGGACCTAAAGTTGCCCAAGCTAGGAGGGCCAGCCCATCCCGGTCTGCCCTGGGTTGAGGGCTTTCCCAGGAGAGTGAACCTTCAGTGCTAAAGCCAGATAGGGACAGCTGTTCACCCTACCTGCCTCCCTACATCTGTCCATGGGTTCTGCATCTCCCCTTTGGAGTGGCACAAAACAAAGATGATCCACTCTTTCCCAACTCTGAGTGAAGACACATCTGAGTGAGTGAAGACACATCTTGGGTCCACTTCTTAGGCTCAACATCCTCAATTTCTTGGACCTCCTTCGTATTGTGTGAGGTGGCAGAGGCTGCTGACTGATCGCCAGGCTCCTCTTCTCTTCTTCTGCACTTTCCAGCCTCTCTTGCAGGTAGGTGTGGCCACAGGAGTTCTAGGATGTGAGCAGAAGGCATGTGGCCACTCACAGTCCTCCATGCTCTTGCACAACGGGAAGCTGCCCTGGGTCACTGCTAGGGGAGGGTTGATCTCCACTCAGGAGCCCCTCCTAGGTGAACAAGCCAGAAGCAGTTGTGCTGGGTCTCTGTGGTTAGGGGCTTACCTGTCACAGCAGCTCCAATCACTTTGACTGACTCACATGCCACAAAGCCCTTTTGTGACCAGCTCACTGCTCTGCACACATTCCTGCCTCTAGACTCCTTTTTTGGAGTCCAGGTGTGGTCTGTGTATCCACTGAGGCTGAGGCCAATGCTCTCCCTCTTCCCACACCTATCTCTAGGGGTGTTGGGTAAGATACCATTAACTGGGGGAGACCCACCCTGTGGCTGTCCCACACGAAACACTGTTAAACCCCCTAAGCCATTTTCACCCATACCACTGCCAAGTCACGTTTTTCCCATCCTCTGCAGCTGGGGGTTTGGGAACACAATAATGTATTGTGAAAATCACCCATCACCGTAGCTTATTGAGATCCTCTGGATCCTGATTCTGTCCACTGTGCCTTGAGTCTTCCTGCCATCCACTGGTGTCTCCACTCTCCACTGCCTGTTATTCATAAGCATGATCACTACAGTAACAACAGCCAGCACTCCACAATAAACTCTAAGTGCTTCCTGAGTCTCAACTCTTAATCTTCGCAACAATTCTCAAATAGAAACTATTATGATCCCCACTTACAGATGAGTAAACTGAGGCACAGTCAATAACTTGCTCCAGGACAATTAGCTAGTAAGTGACAGAGCTGGACTTAAACCCAGCAATTTGATGCCAGTCATACTCTTAACTCTCAGGCTAACATGTTGTCTACACCTGGATCATGTCTGAATTCAGTCATTGCAGACACAAATAGAGAACACAGATGTGCTCCGAGCAGCTGGGCCCTCTGCTGGAGATGCCTGCAGTTAACACCCCTCTGCTTACAGAGCATGTTTCAGGCATACTTGTTCAACTAGTCACTCAGCCTCAACAGCCTCCAGGCTGTTTCATCATTTTATCTGTGAGGATTTCAAAGGAAACCAGGAGCCGAGTGCCCAGAAAGAAAAGAAGACTGGAATCAGAGAGCATTCAAGTTCAAGGGCCCAGAGGCACAGTAGCCCCGAAGCCTCAAGGACTTTCTACCAAAACTCACAGGTACAACCTTGAAAACACAAGAAAAGAAAACAAGAACTTGCCTTCTTGGGCAAGGGGAGTTGAAAGAGGCTGGGCCCAGAACTCCAGAGATGAAATGGGAGCAGCTGCAGCCTGGCTGTTACTCCAAGTATGTCATGCTGAGAAGTAATGGGAGTGTGTGCTCATCACTGTCTGTGGTGTGGACTTAGGACGTGCCCCCTGGAAGCATCGATTCTGCCCCCTGAATTGCTTGCTGAGGGTGTGCTCTGCAGAGGGGCTGCCCACCCAGCCTCTTTATGTTGACCCACTTTCCTGCTTTATGCAAAGTAATTGGCCAAGCATTGTACAAAAGAAGGATAATTAATCCACTGGCTTAACCCTTGATGAAATTATTTTCTTTTCACTATCCAACCTGAGTGTTGGGAGATATGAGATAGAACGTTGAGAGCCAGAGAAGGATGCCTCTCCCCTCCAGTGGGGCAGCTGGATGGAGGGCAGGTTACCCTGGCGTGTCCCAAGCCCTTGGCCACACACAGCTCATGCTCATTCCTATCAAGGGAAGAACTGCTTTCAGCAAGCTAAAGCTGACTTGAAAGTGGTGCAAGATCTAGAATGTCCATCCTTTAGTTAAAAACTTTTCTCGAATTTCCTGTCCCTTGTCCCCCCGATCCAGACAACCAGGGAGGCAGCCATAGGATCAGATCCTGGCAGGGACAAGGCACCTGCCCTGAGGATAGACGAGGAACACCTGAGTTTCTAACAGGCCCGGGGTGGGTTTCAATAGTGAACAGGCTGCAAATAATAGCAAGTCCTGCTGAACAGCACTGGAAGTTGAATCAACTTCACTTTGCATGTTCCATCCTGAATTCTGTAAGAGTACACACACACACACAGAGTAGGGGGGGAGAGAGAGGGAGGGAGGAGTAGAGAGATGGAGGGGAAGAGAGAGAGAGAGAGAGAGGCAGAGGGAGGGGGAGAGAGAGAGAGAGAGAGAGATTGAGATTAAGATTTTATGTGTTTCTAACCTACAGGATTTCTCTAAACATGCTGTGCAGGTCGTCCAGCAACATAGAATATAGAAAACTTCCAGAGATAGAGAAGCCTTTCTGCTTCCAGCCCTCTGATAAGGTATAAGAAAGACAGATTTTTAATAATATATATATCCAAATAGGGGAGAAAAAGATTCTGCAACTCTAACCTTGAGATGACTCTAACCCTACATGTGATATATGACCAGTAGCCATATGTTTTCCATCATTTTAAAAATACTTTTATGTATTTTAGAAATGTTTGCCATAAGCATGTATTACTTCAACAATCAGAAAACATTAAATGTATAATAAAATGAATATGAAGATGAAAGAAACCCATAGAGTCTTTTCTGCATTTTCCATCCTGAATTATATAATACACACACATGTGCGCGCACACATACACACACATGCACATGCACACAGAGGTTTTATTTTTAAAACTAAAATGGTGGTTTTTAATGGGAACCGGAGGTTGGACAATTACTACATAGTCCGGCACAAAAAGACCTGTGGGTGATCAGGAGTTGGAAGGTTCCAAAGTAATGAAGGTAACACTGGATACAAGAAGTAAAATTGCTCCAGAATCTCAGGAGTCAGGCTAATACAACCTCTCCTGCAATCCTGTCTGTGCTCACTCCTGGAGTCCATCTTGCCATGGCCAAAGCCGCCTCTGTCTCCACCACCCCAACCCCCTGGGAAACCCTTACAGTCCCCACCACAGCCCCAGTAGCCACCTTGATCATAGCTCCTCTGCCATCATGAAATCATCTCCATAGTTACCCCCACATGAAAGCCTCTGGTTCCCCTCCTGAGCCATCTGGTTTAGGGGCCTTACACTGGTTGCATTCTATTAATTCCTCCAAAGAATGAATGATGCAGAAAACCATCGCCATCACCACTACCATCACCATCATCACCATCAACACCACCATCATCACCATCAACACCACTATCACCAGCATCACCACCACCATCACTATCACCATCAACACTACCACCATAACCACCACAATCATCACCATCATCACCACTATCACCATCAACAACACCATCACCACCATTGCCATCAACACCACTATCACCACCATCACCACCACCATCACTATCACCATCAACACTACCACCATAATCACCACAATCATCACCAACACCACTATCACCACCACCATCACTATCACCATCACTATCACTATCAACACTACCACCATAACCACCACAATCATCACCATCATCACCCCTATCACCAACACCAACACCATCATCACCATCAACACCACTATCACCACCATCACCACCATCACTATCACCATCAACACTACCACCATAACCACCACAATCATCACCATCATCACCACTATCACCACCATCACCACCATCACCAACACCATCACCATCACCATCAACACCACTATCACCACCATCACCACCACCATCACTATCACCATCAATACTACCACTATAACCACCACAATCATCACCATCATCACCACTATCACCAACAACAACACCATCACCACCATCACCATCAACACCACTATCACCACCATCACCACCACCATCACTATCACCATCAACACTACCACCATAACCACCACAATCATCACCATCATCACCACTATCACCAACACCACCACCACCATCACCATCATCACCATTACCACCACCACCATCACCATGACCATCATCCATCACCAGCATCACCATCAACCCCATTGACCACCATGACCACCACCATCATCACTATCACTGTCACCAACACCAACACCATCACCACCATCACCATGACACTCATCACAAACATTATCACCAGCATCATCACCAGCATCACCATCAACACTATCACCACCACCATCACCATCAACACCACTACCATCACCATCATCGTCACCATCACCATCAATCATCACCATCATCCATCACCAGCATCATTACCATCATCACCATCATCAACATGAAGCCATATCAGGATGCAGAGTATGGTGAAGAGCAGGGGACACTGAAGAAGAGGAGTGGAGTGGTGGGATGCAGGTGCCAGTGCAGCCATATGGAATGTCCCATGTGGAACAGGACTTGGTCTCCGGAATTGGATTCTGTTTCTGCCAACTAACTGCCAACTTTGTGACATTGGAAAAGTCACTTAACCTTTCTGAGCCTTAGTGACCATGCATGTAAAATCAGAATAATAATGGTCCCTGAGGTGATGGTAAGAATGAAAATGTGTAGGGTGGGCATAGTGGCTCCTGCCTAGAATCCCAGCACTTTCAGAGGCCAAGGTGGGTGGATCCCTTGAGCCCAGGAGTTCAAGAACAGCCTGGACAACATGGTGAAATCCCATCTCCACAAAAAAAAAAAAAAAAAAAAAAAAATCCAGGCGTGATCTCACATGCCTGTGGTCCCAGCTGCTCTTGAGGCTGAGGTGGGATGATCCCTTGAGCCTGGGAGGCAGAGGTTGCAGTGAGCCATGATCACACCACTGCACTCCAGCCTGGTGACAGAGTGAAACCCTGACTCAAAATTTAAAAGAAAAGAATTAAAATGTATAAACCCCTGGCCAAACTACTAGTCTGACCCAGGGCAGGGTCTTGGCAACCAGCAGTTTCTTCCCCTGCTGCTGCTCCATCCCAGCAGGATGGGGTCAGGACTTCGGTGGAAGAGTCAATAGTTTCTTACTGAAGATCTGGATGGCTGGAGAAGGTCAAGCACAGAGCACGCAGGTGAGGAGGAGAAGGAAACGCCTGTGTGGGAAGAGGCAAGACTAAACAGGACTGGGCTCCAGAAAGCCAGGGGGTGTTGCCAGCATTTATGGGATTGGGTGGCCATAAGGGTACTTTCAGCCAAGGGAATGAAAAAACCCGGCTGAAGCTGGCTCATTTGATAGGGAAACGGATTCTTTCAAATCCGGCACTGGAAGGGAAGGTGGCACCAGATTTGGTTCTTGGGCTCTGGGTCCCCCTTAGGCTGTGGCATCCAGACAGTCTTCAGAGGAGGGACTGTCTCTCCTGGTCTCTTTCTTAAAAGCCAAGACTCCTTCCCACAGTGGTCCTGTGCCCACCTGCACACTCATTCACTGCAGGGAGTGCATGATCCTGGGCTCGGGCCAATCACAGTGTAGCCCTGGAGCAGCAGGCACAGTTGCTTGGCCCTGAGTCAAAATTGAGGTCTATGAAGAAGAAAAAGTTATCGGGAGTATTGTCTGGGCAACCCACAGCACCCACTAAATCCTGAAGGGGATGTGGTGTAGAGAAAGGACTTCCCGGCAGGGTTGGGGCACAGCGCCCTGGCAGCACCTGCAGCCTGGAAAAAGTTGTCTTGGGCAGACAGCTGCGCTGCTGTCCACCATGAGGGGTCAGCTGGGGACTCCCTGCACAGGGACTACAGGCTGCAATACAAAGTGGTGCACGAGGGATCTAGAACAGACCACATGCCCTCCTCACATGAAATTTTAACAGAGTCCAGCATCTGACCCGGATCAAAACAGCATCTGCAGGGACTGACTCTGGGTCACCCCAGCCCAACCCAGTATGCAGGTTGCTCCAGGACCCAGGTGACTTTCTTGTCACAACCTGGGAGCATCAGGGGCTGTGCAATGGTCAGGTTCAGCCAGAGGGCTTTGAGTGTCACAATAGCTAAGGAGAAGCTTAATGCCAGAGGGAGAGGTGAAGGGTTGGTCCTCAGTTTCCACACCACAGATTATCCTGGGGGGCTTCCAGCATTTTGCACTGGGAAGCCGCAGCCGATTTCAAGAGTCACGTGATCATTGTGCACTTCTCTCCGAGGCAAGCCCACTAGGAGCCCTGGGCTCACCTTGGCTCTTGCTTGACACCATCCTGGGGTCTGAAGAGGGCTGGAAGTGATTCCTGGACTGGCTGCTGTGGGTGTGGTTGGATTTTCCCAGCTTCCTGGTATTCCAGGGGGTTGCAGGAAGAGTCTCCTTCTTGGGAAGGCTGAATGCCCTGATCTACAGGCTGGGGACCCTCTGACTGGACAGACCCGGCCCCTGTGAGTGCTCATCGCAGGTGGGAGATCTGAGTTTGGGGATGGGGAGATTTGGCATTGCAGATCAGACCCGAGAAGTTGGCGGAGACCTGAGACTAGTGGCTGCAGCTTTCTGTCCTGGTTGACATGGCCATGGTGGTTGTGATCATCCCTACATGGGTGAGGACAGCCCCGTGTGTGACCACGCCATCACCCTGGAGCCACCGCTGGTGGCTCTGCCATGGACGGCCGTGTGCACACCACTTGCCAGAAACCCTTGCTCAGGGTGGCCTCGCAGGTGTTAAAACAGGAAGAGCTGGCCCAGCGTGGGAGGGTGGTTTTTTGGGGTGCTGTGAGAGCCTCCAAGGCCCCT